AGCGTGAAGCACTGAGAGACAAAAGGATGGATATTTTGAGGTGCAGATGGTTGGTTGTTTCTGAAAGTTAGGGCTTATGGTGATTTCCTCAAAATAAGCTGAGGGCAGAAACGTGGCCTCCCTCTTCCTTGTCTTATCCAGTCCAGCACTGTGTGGCTTCCTCTGCTCTTCCTCTGGAGGTTTCTCACACATTTAACAGTTAGCTTCCTCCCTCCCGCATACACGCAACACTTCTAAGGCAGGGACAGTCCTGGGGTCAGCTGGGCTGCCCTTAACAGCAATGCTTGTCTCCTGCCTGCTGCTCTGATCATCTCTGCTCTATTGTCCTTGTCACCATTTCTTTCACTGCAGCTCACGGTATTGAGGATGGATGCTCTAGGAGTCATCTCCAAACCAGCAGTCATAAACGTGCTGACATGCAGAGGGTTCGGCTAACGTGTTTCTAACACCTAACAATACATCACCCACTCTCACTCAGTAGCACTTCTGCTACACAGAGTAACCATCCAGAAAGCGAAGATGCTTAACAAGGCACGTGGTTCATAGCAGCATTCCCACATGGCTTAGGTGCATTTTGAATTGCAAATCAGGCAGTGGCTTAGTGACGATGGACACCTCAAGCAAGGCATATTTTTGTTGCTTTAGTGGGCAGGTGTTTAAACACAGCTGCATGTTTTTGTACTGCTTGTGCCTGACAGTGCATTAACTAAAATTACTGTATCAGACAACTGCAATATCGGCAAAGAAGCATTGAGAGATACTGCAGCATAGACTGTTGGCAGCAACTTATTTGAACTGTTTCCTGGTCATCCTTTTTACCTTGCCTATAATACTTTAGGATTACTTCACCTCCTCTTCAAATTTCTGCCTAGAGTTTTTAAACAGAGAAGAGATCGGGATGGAAGGAGATGGAAGGTCAGGCTTTACTTTAAACCTGGTACGGAGAGAGGAGATTTAACACAGTAGTCTATAAAGCTGCTAGTTTTTTTCTGAAACTGTAGTTTCAGTGTAGCATTTTAAAATGAGTCGTGTAACATGAGTCACAGTAACAAGCATGGGCTGGATCTCTTTAGCTGAAAGAAGTGCCATAAGAATATGCTGTAGACTTCACTGCCTTGTCCTGGATTCTATTTTGGAGAACTGATGGCATTTGGGATTCAACCATATGTCTGGCTGAGTCTGTAGCACATACAGATCTGGTAGGTATTCGGAGATGTAGCACATACAGATCTGGTAGGTGCGTCTGTTGTGGCATGCATGCTGCTCTGGAAAGGAATGCATGTCTATGCCCGGCTGTTCTCCAAATCCTGGGTGCTGAGGCCTTTGAAGTGAGATTTGCATAACACAAAACCTTTGCTGCTTATTTGCACCGGGCTGAAAGAGGCCTAAAGGAACATCTTTGGAATACTCTTTTTGAAAGGTGGCAGTCGCCACTAATGATGATTTAACACGCAAAACAAAGCAACCTACAAGTGCGGTCACCAAAGAGACAACACTTGCCGACAGCAGGGAAATGTGACATAGCACAGATGCCCAGGCTCCTTCAACAGGAGAGTGCTGACAGCTGGGCAGCACTGGCTTGGTGCAGATTCCTCCAGCCCCATGGAGACTGGTGAACAAGGGATACCTCAAAGTAACGCTAAGAAGAGCTGTAAAGGTGATCTGCTCCTGCTTTGCAATCTGCCTGGTCCCTTGGGGTTTTTGTTTTGTTTCGCTCCCTGCATAGCTGTAGCCTTCTTGTAATTTAGAACATGCTACTTGCAGTATTCTTCTGCCACGCACAGAATAAATCTGTCTTAGCAGTGATTTAAGCAGCCACATTGATCTCTGCCCACAGTCAATACACGTAATAACGTCAGAACCTCTCAGACAGTCTCTAAGGACTTAGCTCCTTTCTAAAATCTGCTGTCATCCTGCTTTGTGCCTGAGGGATAGACCTAAATCTCTTGTGTTTAGTGGGTGGGAAAAAGCCCGCTGTGAACAATTTCCAAGAAATGAGATGGGGCCAGAGTTTGATGGAGTCCTACTGTCTTGGAGTGAAGACTTGTAGAGTCATAACTCCTTCAGAGTAACACAGCATTGTGGTATTACTATCTCCACCTTCAACTGAACTTAGTAGTTACAGTACATGCACTTCAGTAGGACTCTTTCCATGCTATCTACTTGATGGGACACAATTTTTCTGAAAAAAGATCTTGTGTCAGCAAGAATGTATAACAAAAAACAAACTGGTACATCAAGTTTCCTTTAAGGAACGAGGAACCCTTTCCCTCCCCATCTTTCTCTAGCTTTTCCAAAAGGAAGATTTATAGGATAATACAGACCAGATAGACGCTGTGCAAGGTGCCTTCTGCGGCTCTTCAGGTGCAGTGCAACTCTCTATAGTCATCTGCTGCTTCAGCTCTCGGAAGAAAGCTATCATTTGTAAAAGTGTCTTTGTAAAGCAGTTCCCCAACAAAGGAGGGTGCTGTCTCTGAAGAAGGCAGAACCTACAACTTCCCCCCTTTTGAAAACTGAGCCAAACGCATTATCAGAGCCACCTGTCCCAAGCAGGAAGCCAACCAGGATTTCCACAGTTAAGCTGAGTGCTCAGGCCTGAGCCCTCAAGAAAAGCTCTCTTGGTTCCAGAAGCAGGAATCTCACAGCAGAAGCAATCAAATGCCTTGTTTGTATGAAGTGCCCTACACTATTGTTGAAAACGTGTCCGAAGATTTCAAAAGGATTTTCCCAAGATTGTTTTTTGTCTTCTGGTGACTAGCTACTTGTAATGCTGTGGGGTTTTGCTGGGATCAGTGAAATCTGTTTATGCTCACAAGGGAGCAAAGCAAGGATCACAACCCCAGACAGAACACCTGAGAGGATCAAAGGATGAATGGAGGGAAAGGAACGTGTCAGCGTCTTGTGGCGTAATTACCTTTTTTCAAGGGGTAGGTCTGGAAGCACCAGGCCTGATGAAAATGGACTCTGCTTCACAGCAGACTTGAACAAATTCCTCGTGGTTGCTTAGACCACCTCCTGCCTGAAACAAACCAAGACCAGAGCACCTGCTTCAACCTGCTGGGAACCGGTGCTGAAAATGGCATTCTCCTGGCTCTCCGAAGTAAAGCATAAGCAGACCGAAAGGAAAGTGCTCACTGCACTGCCCTGTTATTTCAGCTCTGATACACAAGACTTCTCCCAAATAGCTACGTTATAGTCCAGAGCATTGTCATCTTCGTTCAATATTGGATTTCTCCCAAATGCTGCATGAATGTCTCAAGTGCAGAAGGGGGAGGGGTGGAAAGGTCCTGCTAAGAGCAGTTTTGGCTGGGCCAACTATTAGTTTGCATCAGCCAGTGGCTTTTATGTGAGTAACAATTATTTTGTACACAAAGGCAGCTTCTCAGCCTTGCCAAACTCCAGCTCTCCCCAGTGGTCTTTGGGGTATAAGCACCAACAGCCAAGGCACTGAGGAAGACATCAGCATTTAAGGAACAATGAGGGATAAGAATCGGCAGGGAACATTTCAAAAATGCTGAAAGGATTTTAGGTGTTCAGGGCCCTTGAGCTTTCAGTGGGAGGGCCTTCGCAGCTCTTGGGTATTTCTCAGACTGCTGCCTTGGCTCTGTTATGCTGTCTGATTCACTCCACCAGAGGAATTTTGCCCCTGCGTTGTCAGATTCTCTCTGTCCAAAAGCTTTCCACCCTGAAGGGCAGCACACAGGAATTTCCAACTGTCTGTCATGATGCTGGAGAGCCTTTCTTTCTCCACATCTCCCTTCAGCTGCCTTTTCTGCTTTCTATTCAGGTTTGTTATGACTTTTTTTACTTTGAGTAATGTCACTCATGTCATTCTCATGTCACTGAGGCACTGGTTTCCATCATCTTTAACTTGCTGTTTGATCGAATGCCCAGTGAAGTCGGTGGGCATCCTCCCCTAGATTTCAATAACCTTCTGATTGGACTTGTAACAGCAAAGTTGCGTATGAGGCCATGGCATCCCCCTGTAGCTGATTTATCTGGCACCGACTATAGTATGTATTCTCCTCCTGTAAGACAGGGCTTTGGAGCAGCCTGTGTTTTGCAGAAAACCATAGTCTGACTGAGAGGTGATGGGCTTTGCAACAACCAGAACACCTGGTTACAAAATACCCTCTGTGATGAAGGCATGGCTTGCCTCTGCCGTCTGATTTGCTTTCTTCCTACTGTGCCGTGCTGGAAACTGCCTGCTTGTTTCCTTCTCCCTCAGGAGAGCTGTTTGTGAGCGTGGCTATCCGGTAGCGCGTGATTGTTGGTACCTGCTCCGGTGAAATGCACAGCAGAAAAGACACAGAAGGCAGATTTTTCAAAAGAAAATAATACATGAAAGATGGAAAATTACTGTGTTAATTTGAAGCATTTTGGTGCTCAGAGCAAGAAGTACAGTAAAGGGCAATAGCTCGTGGTATAAGGGTGCCTCGCAGCATTGCATGACTGAGCTTTTGTCCCAGTGTCAGTCTGGCTGCGACTTTACGCAAAGAGCTGAACTCCTCTGTTTTCTCCTGAATCGCAGTCCTTTCATGATTTCCTACCTTGCATTTTACATTACCATGCTGAGTCTTAAAAATACTTAAAGATGTAATCAGCGTATGTTAGAGGCCTGGCACATTTCATCTTCTACGAGCTGACCGGAACTCTTGAGGCTGGTGTGCTTCCTGTTTTTTCCTGATCATCAAATCAATTTGCAAAATAATACATTCACTCTTGCATTGTCAGAGTAAGAGTTCCTTTACCATCTAAATAAGCATAAGGCACAAGGAAATGGCTTGTGCTGGCACTGTTTTTGTGCCATTATGTTAATCCTCTTTAATTGCTACTTCTAACAATTATATTTTCCTGTATTTACACCACAACTCCTAAATAAACTTAGGCCTGCTGGACTGGCATTAGTAGCCAGGAATAGGTTTTATCTAGGGAAGTTAGTCCTCGTAGCTGGCTGAGAAGATTTCTCAGCAGGCAGTGTGTTTGTAGCTGGGTGACTTATGAGCTGTGCTATTTCTTATTACCTTCTGTTTGTTTTTCCAGGCTACAGACTCTTGGCTGTGGAACTGACGTCCAGCAACACCAAGCCCGTGGTGCAGGAATTCCAGAGTGAGTGCTGCGGGGGCCCGCTGGCTGCCTGACGCGATAGCTGCACTGCCCTCTGCCTGGGGATTTGCATCAGTCCAAACAATTGAGAAAAATTTTGCTTCCTGCTCATGGTATCTGGTTTCCTGGGGGAGGCAGGACAACCGAGAGCCTGAGATTCAGAAAAGCGCTTAAGAATACGTCTGTATCTCTCCCTGTTCAGCAAAGCACTTGATTGAAATGGTTTATTGAAGTCCCTTGCAAGCCATTGGCATTACAAAGTGTCTGCCTAAGTGCTTTTTTGAACTGGATCCCAAAAAGAGGAAAGGCGGTCGCCTTGCAATTAATATACTGAAAAGGAGGTCTGGAAATTTATATTTTATCTTGGCCCTACTACAGACGTGCAATGTGATACTGGGTAAGCCACCTCTCAACCCTGCTGCGATGCCTTCTTCTGCAGAGGAGATGGAGATGACAATGCCTACTTCAAAGGGGAGCGGGTTTGCTGAATTTATCCCCAGGCATCATGGTCCTCAGTACATTACCAGACACCACCCAGGGAGATTCTGCATCCCTGACTCACATTGTAGGCTCTGATTAGCAGCAAGACAGTGCTGTGGACTCACCCTGTCCTAAGGTCTTGTTTGCTGTAAGTCAGAGCCTGTAGAGAACAGTGTGTTCATTTCTCTCCATAGTTGGTATCTGTTCGGCTATTATTTTTGCTGGCCAAAATCCACCTTCCCCAATAGCTCCTGGAACCCAGCAGTGTTTCTGTTTGTGAGGCAGATGAAAGAGAAGGCGTTGCTTTGTGGGCAGCGTCTCCTAATAAAACACTGTGCAAAACTGCTTAAAGCAGAGCAAAAATACAGCTGCTTCCTATTAATCTGTATTTCCTTTATTTCTCCTGCTAGGTGTTGAGCTGTCCTGCATCATTAAATCCACCGTAACAACAGATCCCAGAATCGAGTGGAAGAAGATCCGAGATGGCGAAACCTCTTACGTATTTTTTGACAATAAAATGCAGGGTATGAAGATTCATTGTTCTTAGACTTCCAAAACAGCCTCAGAACCAATACAACTGAGAACAAACAAGTCTTTTAAAGGCAGGACCTCTGGCTGTCTTGCTGCTTTCTTCTGGAGCTAGAGTTCAGCAGTCGAAGTGCAAGATGGAGAGAGAGCAGGATGTTCTTTGCTCTCTGCCCTCATTATTGACAGTTCACAGTAGGGAGCCACAAAGAGCTGGAGTGAGATCCTATGTAGGAGATACTTCTTGGGTAAGAAAGCAAATGCTACAGCATCCCTTCTCCAGCACCTGTCGGTCCTTGCTGGAGGTCACTGGGTGTCTGAGCTCTCGGGACCAGACACTGACCCCTCCTGTCTTTCCATATGGAACCGGAGGGCTCCACCCGCACTTCAGAAGGGATCTCTGTCTGGAGCTGTCAGTGCTTACTGCTGAGGTGGCACAGTGCTTTGCAGCATCCTGGGAGCACGTCATTAGAAGCCAGACTCTTTGGCTTGATGGTGAAACTCAAACACAGGACTGCCAGTAGGGCTTGACTCCATCTGGAATTACTCCAACACTTTAGATGGGACCAACAGCCACATTCAAATGAATCTTCCAAAGGAGACAAGACCTGACGCTGTCTTGGAAGTCCAATTTTGGCACAGGTTTTGAGCTCTGGGGTGGTGCTTTCCAGTTCATCCTCTTATATGGTTAGCAGCACTGGTTTCCTTTGTGGTCACTGGTGAGAGGAAGGCTCCTAACTTTAGAGCATCGAGTTCCTTTCAGGTGGTTCTCTTGACTCAGAAAGAGTCCAAGATCAACCACTTAATTCAGATGCCTAAAGTTAGTCTGTGTGACTACCCTGAAATTTTTCTCTCTTTTTCCTCTGTATCAGGAGACTTTGCGACTCGTGCAGAAATTCTGAGCCGGACATCGCTGGTGATTAAAAACACCACCCGGATGGACACTGCCACATACCGCTGCGAAGTGGCAGCACCTTCTGATACTAAAACCATAGATGAGATTAATATTCAGCTTACAGTCCAAGGTATTACTTTAAACCCAGATACCTCTGCAAGCACTGCTAGCTAACAGAGGAGGCTGTGAGTCTCTCCAGAGTTGAAACAGTGGCACTCAACAGACTCTGGAATTTGTCATTTAAAACCAGCTGGAAATAGTGGAAAGTTTTGATGCCTTTGTAGCACAGCCATCTTAGAAAGTATATCAGAAATTATTTAGTTCTACTCAGCAGTGCCATTCACATGGTTTGTGTCTTTCCCACAGTGAAACCTATGACTCCTAGATGCACTGTGCCTAAAGCTGTACCTGTTGGCAAGACAGCCTCTCTTCACTGCCACGAGAATGAAGGTTACCCAAAGTCCACTTACAGCTGGTACCGCAACAGTGAACCTTTATCACCAGACACGAAATCAAATGCCAAATTCCAGAATTCCTCCTACACCTTGAACCCCACCACAGGCACTCTGGTAATGCCCTTACAGACATAATCAAAACTTGTTTCGCTGGACAGGTTATTTTTAAGGTGACTTGTAAAAGAAAAAAGTCATTGCATGGCTTTCAAAGAAGGTATGATTTGAAGAAGGTTAGGTGTTCTAGGATCTGGATGACTTGGGAAAGGGAAGATTAATGACGGAAGAAGATATTACCCTAGCTGATTGGTTTTGATCACTGCCAATACCACACACCTTTTTAGAAAGAGGGAAGGAAGATGTCTCTCAGCCCACCGTGAAGCCTGGGCAATGGAGAGTTGCTTATACATGCTTATACCCTCACAGTGCCTTCTGTCTCTCACGTCCTGCTAACCCCCTTTCTCCTCACCAGGTTTTCCATGCCGTGCACAAAGGAGACACAGGCCGTTACTCCTGCATAGCAACAAACGATGCTGGCTTTGCCAAGTGTGAGGAGCAGGAGATGGAAGTCTGTGAGTGGCTCTACATACTTTTCATCAATGCTGATTAATATATCACCATAAATAAATTGCCATCACCATAGAGAAAGAAGGGACATCCTAGAGTATTAAGTCTTTCCTGCTTTCTCATAGCCCCAAACACAGGAAGAAAAAAAAAAATCTAAAAATTCAGGGAAACATTAGAACACTGTTCAGATTCATGAACAGTTTTAGTCTTGGAATCAGGGACTCACTAGTTCCCTATGAATTATTGGGGTTTGCTTAAAATATTCAAGAGATGTCATTTTAGTGTATGTAAAGCTAGAATATTGCTACCACCTTAAAGAAATACTGGATGATGGCTTCTCTCTTTGCCAGATGACCTCAATATTGGTGGGATAATTGGTGGAGTCCTGGTGGTCCTAGCAGTTTTGGTGCTCATCACTCTTGGTATCTGCTGCGCCTACAGAAGGGGTTACTTTGCAAATAGCAAAGAGAGTGGGGAAAGGTAAGCTGGTATTCAAAGTGTTCTTATACAAGTCCCTGCGCCCACACCCTAGCATGAAGGAGTCTGAAGGGCGCCAGAAACTGGTGGCTAAAATGTATTTCAATGCCTGACTTGGACATATTTCTTCCTAGTTCTGTACCAAAGACTACAGGCCAACCCAATTCTTGAAGTATCCAATTCCCCGCTGTAAACCCTGCACCGTGCTGAAGGTTTATTTGCCTAAGGGAGAATTTTGGTATGGCTCCTCTTGTGCTTGCTACCAAAACCAGACAGAGGAGCGAAAGCTGTGCTCTAATATCCTCATGCTTTGCACGGGAAGGGGACACCAGCACAATGAAATGCCTACAGGTGTTTGTCCAATAGGTTCTGTGCTGTTGGCATAATGAGGTCTACAATTTAATGAACAGAGCTCACTGCACAATTAGTTTAAAGCATCAGGACATGCATAGAAAATGTATGCAGAAGAGTAGGCTCTCTGCAGGAAATCTCACTGGTTGTGAGAACCTAAATTTGGGATTAAAACCAACCATTTTAGAATGCACATTAAAACGTTAAAAACAACAGCATTAGCATCAGAAACAAGCCTTGATACCTTACAGAATCTGTAGAAGAGATAATATATGTAAAACCAGGCTTCTCACCAGATAAGATTTGTTCTATGTTAAATGTTGCTTTTCAGCAGAAGTCCTGTCTTTTTTGGTTAGGTTTGGTTTTTCAGAAGAAGCTCCAAATATCCTATTTAAATGCAGCTGAGGGTTGGCATACACTGGACTTGACAGTCGTATATAAATTATGAATTCCTATGGGATCGCAAACAAGTAGCGCTTCCTTATAACTAAGGAAAATGCTGAAGGCATCTGGCAGTGAAGGTTTAAAATGAACTTTATAATTGCCACAGGAAACAATGCAGGAGGCACGCAGAAAGGTAGCGCACAGGGACCAGAGCAGAAGAGCCCAGAAAAGAATCGGTTAATCTCTTTGCAGAGTTAGTCTTGTGGAAACATACAGCAATCTTTTTACCCTGTGCTGAAGGGGAATTAAGAAAAAATCCCAGTCATGATGAATGATGGAATAAGCACAGATCTATCATTTGAGCAGTGAGCTGGGTTTCTCTCTGCTTTCTTTTCATTCGGCTGCTCTTCCTCATTTTTGTCTTTCTCAGCACCTCCCCTCCAAAATCCTGCAGTCTCCATGTCCCAGAAATGAGATCTTTTCCTTTCTTTCAGCTACAAGACTCCAGCAAAACCTGATGGCGTTAACTATATCCGGACAGATGATGAGGTAACAAATGATTTGCATTTAACATCTCTCTGTTTGGGAGAGGAGGAGGGTGGGCAGAGGACTACTAGCTTTTTTAGGGCCTACAGACTTTCTTAGAGCGGGCACCACTCAGAAGCGAGGATGTAGAACAGAGAGAAAACAGAAGGGTGAAGGCTGAGTCATTTCCTTAGAAACGATGAACAGTTTAAGTTGCCTTAAGTGACTGATGCCAAGAGCTATCAAATGCAGCTCTGCTCTGTCTCAGTCATCTTATGGCTTGACCCCCTGAGGATGAGTTTCATTGGATTAAGTGGGCAGGCCATGATGCTTTTACAAGAGAATGTACATTTTGGGATTTGTCTAGATCACTAAGCTTAAGATCAGAGAAAGCCTCTCCCTGTTAGCAGAGATACTGAAGAGGGAATGAGAAGGTCCCCTGCCATGCCTTGGTATGCGAGGAGGACAGCAGGAGAAGGAGCACCTGGCCGGTATGACTGGTGTCTCCCTCTCCTTACCAGCTGGAAGGGGGTGCTACCTAGACCGAATGCTAGAAGTTACGCAGATTGGATGTACCTTTCACGGGCATGTTGCAGTCGGGGGCAGCAGGAACAAAGAGGTGCCTGGAAAAGCCACTAGATCCTTCCTATATCCAGAACTGTTTCGTTGCAGGGTGACTTCAGACACAAGTCTTCATTTGTCATATAAGACACCAAAAGAATATTGCAAACCAGCAAAAGCAAGTGTGAAAATACCTCCTCCAGGAACTCAAAGCGAGAGCAAAAGATGAATTAAGTGCGCTTGGAAGAGTTTGGAACACACAAGAACTTGATAGCTAGCTATCTGTATATCTTTTTTTTCTTTGCCAAAGTTTAAAGTAACTCCTCACTGCCCAACTTGCGTCTCCCCTGCCTCCGGAGATACCAACAGGATCACCTAAACCTGTCCTTGGACTAAGGAAGCGTTTTAATACTTCTCAAGAGACCGGGCTGTGGAACTTTGTGGAATTGCCTTCTGTTTGTGCTGCAGGGACACAGCCACAATGTGCAAACCAACCAGGGGAACAGCGTTAGGTAAACGTGTAGTAGACATTACTAGTACAAATTACTAGTAGACAAAAAAGGTGCTGATACGGCAATAGACGGACTTCAAAGAATAAGATTTATCCATGGAAGGGGGAGTCTTCCTCTCAGCAGCTTGTTGCCCAGGCCTGGCTGGTGACTTTTACACATTTGTGATTGTCTTGCGCTTTTGACTCCGACTGCTCAGGTGCAGAATGGGATATCTGAATAGCCTACAGTGACAGATACCGATGCAGTAAACGCAACTAATGTTCTCAGCCCTTTTGTAAACTTACTGAATTCTCGTTACTCCATTTAACATGAAACACGGGCAGCATCAGGCCAGAAGGATTGCTTCTGTTCACTGCTTTGTAGAAAACCCATTGCACGCAGGTAACCCCTCATTCTAATCTGCACAAAGCAGGCTTGCCTCTTGCGTCTTGTGGTGTTTTAAAGAGGCTTAGAGTGGAGGCAGAGAACCTAGTGCTAAGACATCCCTTTCAGGAAAATTAAAGCCAAATAATTTCAGGGGCTAAGATTCCCATAAGAGGTACTGAGATGTCTTCAAGTTTTTTTACCTTCTCCATTTATTTTGTAAAATCCCGCATTCTAAATTTTTTGCAAAGATATATTTTGATTACTTCAGAAAAGGTAACTTTTCTATTTAAAGTGTAAATACATGATGCCAGCAGTGTTTAATGTAGCTATTTTTTTACTTTTTAAGCTACAGAGAGGAGCTCAAGTGTTGCTATAGTACGGCACTGTCAGAGCATATCAGTATTATTGCAAAGTGTAATAAAAAACTGCTGGTGGAACAGCATCTCTTTCCTCTTAAGCTAGCTTCAGCAATTTCCTTGTCACAAGAGGTCTTACCAGACACAGAACAGAGTCACTCAGGGATAGTTTTTGTAAATTTATGGCAGGAGCTATCAACTTTTTTATATATAAAACTTACTTTTCTTGCCAGCGACCAACACTTTGTCTTTGTTGTTGCAAGAAATATCCAGGGATGGCTTTTGGATTCAGTTCCAACAAGGTGACAGAGTGACTTCAATGTCTGCTACCCCTCTGCAAGTTCCCTAAAGCACTAACACAGTGTGACAGCTATGGCAACTTTACAGATTTAAACTGCATAGCCAAGGCAACTGTTTCTGGAGTTGGGAAAGCAAAAGCTCAATACAAAAGCACTTTTGTAGTGTCAGTTGCAACTTTTCTCTAGAAGGTAAAAGAAAAAAAAAAGAAAACAAATCTAGTTCTCTTGCCTTTAGAGAGAATAATTGGAAACGCGTGTTTCCCAGAAACATGTATGTTGATAGTGTTGAACAGCATTGGGTAATATAGGACTGCAAGATGTGGATGCAACACTAGAACTGTGCTGTGGTTTAAGAATTTTTTTTAATGTAGCATAATTTAGTGTTCTTGTATTTCCAATATGAATTGAGTTGTCTTAACTTTTCCTGTATACAGTATTTTGGATACTTGACGATTTGGACTGTCAGTGTTATTTTTTAGTGTTCTACATTAATCTGCTTTGTTTCCTAGGGGCCTCGCTGGACATGCCATTGCTGCATTTGTTTTGCCTAAACAAAGTGTTACCACTTCTCCTTTTGCTAATGAAAGTAAAAATAAGGATGGGGCAGCAATAACCATACGTTCTCTGTGTAACTCGGACATTACCACTGCTATCTTGCAACTACGTTATGGTTACCTTCTTAAGACATGCTCTTCAACCAAGCCACACAGTACTGTTCACTGGCTGCATGCTGCCTCTAATCTGACAGTAGTGAGCGTAACATTCCTTTGCACCTTCTGTATATCCACTACTCCTTTTCTATGCTGCTTTTAGGATACCTATAATAAGGGAAAGAAAAGGTTTGAATCAGGGTAGCTCTGGGCACTATGGGAGCACAATCTACAGTCTCACCATGAGCCAAAGGCAGCCTTCATGTGAAAAGCCAGCAAGCTAAGAATCAAGACTTATTTTTCAGTTCTAAAATGTGACAGTGGCATCTCTAACGAGAGAAGGGGAGATGATCCCCCTGATACAGCTCATGAGATCTGATTGATGGAATTCATTGTATCATTGTGAATAATATTCAGGTTTGTACTAATGTATTACGTTTAACTTTGCCAAGAATGTTTTACATAAATACCAAGCTATAAAGCATTCTTGTAGGATTTTTTGTTTGGTTTTGTTTTTAAACAGCCATATTATTGGAAGCTTCTGTCTTCAATTCAGTGAAATAAGGGAAAGTCTCTTCTGTCAGAGCACTCATTTACTTGTATTGGACTGAAGGTTACAGAAAGTCCAAGGTATGTTGCTGTTTATCATTTTGTTCTTGAACATTTGTCTATCGCTGGTTCTTCTCTAGAGAAGACAAATTAATGCTCACAGGGCTCATCTCAATGCTGCTGGAGGACAGAATAAAAACTAGAAAAGCACAAATTAGGAAACAAACTATTCCAGTTTACCATTCAGAGCGATTAAATATTTTAAGGCAGGAGAGAAGGTACAAAACAAATGGATGTGGCCATAATTGACCATCACTTAAGCCAAAGCCATTCCATACGTCCCCTGCTCCCAGGTTTTGACTTTGATTTTGAGAATAAAGTTTAACCTCACTTGAAGGTTTCTCTGATCTTCAAAACAGAATAGGGAAAGTGAGGGCAGATTATGGGATTCCAGTGCAGGAGGTGAGTGCCTCTGGAAGGGCTGTGGCAAAAAACACGCTCAGCGTCTTTGTTTCCACTTGTATAGAAAAGCCTACTCCGTTTCTGTTGTTCATGCCTGAATAAGACAAACCATCATGAGTAAAACAGATTCCATTTTCAAGTTCCAATGAAATCTAGGGCAAGAGCTTTGTAATAGAAGTCAACAACGGAAAAACTTCAGTTAGGTTAGCACGGCATCAGAGAGACTCGGGAATGGTCAGATTCCAGCATTTACACAGCGCATTTACTATAAACGAGTTATCTGTGCAGAGCACAAAGCTATGCATAAGACTTACCAACCTTGATTTTAGTGAGTTATTCATATCCTGCTTGCAGTCAGATAAGAGTCTATATTTAAAAGCTGCTGGGTCCAACATTAATTGAACTGAATGCCTAAGATACCAGCGACGTAGTAGGAGCGACTTTGAGGCTGTAGAAATCTATAGAAAAAAATAATTTCTCTGTCAGAACAAGAAGAGGAGAGAAGCTGTGGGTGGAATTAATTCTGTAACCATTTATTTTCATAAAATTTTAATAGTTGGAAATAACATTGTTCAAGAGTGGAAATATTCCATATAAAAGAACATTAAGGCTGTTCATACACGTAGGAGCTTGCACAATAAATAAGAGGTGATGTAGCGTGCAATTACCAGATTTAGGGGTGTGGCAGTGACAAGCTGTTTCACCTTTGTTCAAATTAAAGCAACTCTAGTATATTACCAAGAGGGACAATGAGGGATCGAGTGAATAAGCTGAGCCACTCACTTCCCTGCAAGCTGTGATAAATGCATTTGTTGCTAAGCTTGTGGCAATATTATGCTTTTACTTTTCCAAATGGACAAATTATACATCCTGTGAGTGAAGAGCAAGCCTCCCTTTATACTGCAGCTTTCTAGCACTCCAGTGAGCTTTGTCAACAGCAGCAGCTTATAATACATACATGCGTTAATGCAGGCTTTGTATGCCCATATTCTAGACAGTTTCATGTAAAAACCAAATAAGAATAGATAAGGAAGGACGTGTGCCCACAACGATTTGTAATTACAGAGGAAAAGGACAGATTTCAGGCAACATGATGATTCTGTACAAAAGTTCAATGAAAGGATCAATTGTCTGGTTTCAGTGGAGTTCTCCGCTGGGACTGTCTCAGAGGGACACGTTGGCTGCTTTTTTTCTTTGCTGGGGACTCCACTTTCCACTCCCGTGGCAGGGACGGGCTAGAAGAAGGAAGCAGAACGACCATGTATTTTAAAACACTTTACCAGTCTTTCTCACTGTGATTGCTGTTTCAGACCTGCGTTGAACTTACGGTTTCTCTGGTGATGTCAAACAGATAATATCTCTTGGCTCGTCCTCAGCCTCCTTCTTCTCTGCAAATAATGCATATATTTTCATATTTTAAAAAATGCCACAGATTTGATCATTTGGGTTTTTCTCCCCCCCCTCAAGTTAGAATCACAAAGATAACTTGCCTGGAGCTGAACCGGGCGTGTGCGTCAAGCTGATGTAACTGACCCCAGCACCAAAAGTCAAGTCATTAATGGTCTCTGAAAGAAAAAGCACATATTAGCAGTCAGCTTGTGACATAGCCAGAGGACAAGGCATGCTGTAGTAGAACACTTAAGTGTCACAGAGTTAAGTATATCCAGTTAATTGCAAGCACATATACATCTCTCTTTTCTAGCCCAGCAGATCTCAGTGTCTCCCATCCTGCCTCAAAACTATGTGCTGAATCTGATCTGTGCACATCAGCTTCATACTCCAGACTTACAGCCTTCCTTGTACATGGAGGACATGAATTTAAATATGGGACCTCAGTCACGCACCTCCTTGTCCTACCTAAGTGGGAGAGCCACACCTTCCATTGAAGCTTTGCCATCTTTCACACCACATTAGATTCAGACCAGTTGCTTTGCCTAGTCAAGGCAGAATACGCGGCCCCTGAAGACTGACAGAGGACCTGAACAGCCCTTCCGTAAGGAGCTGCCTGCAGCCAGAAAAGAGGAATCACTTGACAAGGAAGCTAGGTAGAATTTAGCTTGCCTGAATAGGCCATAGTTGTCAGCTGTCTCTTTCCTGTCATTTATCTCAGGAGAGATGTCACAATATTCAGATTTTACTTTACTCAACACTCTGTTTTATGCTCATGTTTCCCAGAATCTTTCACAAAGAATTAAGGTAGAAAGCGCTTTATAGGGCAGGAGTTGGAAACTCTGCTAAAAGGACTTCTCTCTACAGACTAACTGGGTTTGCTCTTTAACTACTTCCCTGTCCTGGAAGGGAATCACTGAAGCTTGTAGTGGAAATCCAATTTGATCTATCTGCCTTAGTTGGCCTCTGCATCTCTCAAGACTGACCTGCAAGTGTCCTGACTTTGTGCAGTGTGTGCCTTAACAAGTTATCTTGGTATTAACTTCTCATTAGAGAAGTTTATGCGAAAGGCAGGAAGGGAGGAAGGAAATGGTGGAGAACTGTCATCAAGTAGGGCAGTCAAAGGTGGTGTCTTCACAACATGTGTTTATGTACCACAGTGAAGCAATCTACACTTGCCCAGACCCACTTAGCCATTCTCAAAGTAACGAGCAGGAGAAGGAGACCCAAAGACAGCAGGGGAGAGAGCGACAGCCAGAACAGTCAAATGAGGTAAAGAGAAGAGACAGCTGTTCTGAACTTCTCAAGTACAAAATGGTTTACAAAGAACTGCATCTCCAATAGTTTTAGAATGATATACCAGAGAAATAAAAATGTTTTATTGTCTACCAGCCTGCAAGACCCAGCACCACCATGCAGATGGCTCAACACACGCTAACTGAAGTGATGATACTGCTCTGTACAGTTTGTCTCCCCACTGAAGGACACATGCTGCCTCGAAGCAAAGTAGGAATTCAGCCCCAGTACCACTGCAGATTAACGTTCTTCCTCCTTTTTCACCATATGGTGCTTAAGAGAAACAGCCGTGCAAGCTTCCAGACAGAGATATGGCGCTTAAAGATTTCTGCTCTCTAAAAACATGCCCCCAGTTTTTTTGCATAAAGATCACTGCATGTTGCTCAGGCAGCAAAGAAAAACACTGAGGCAGACAAATCTAGCCAAACAGTGGAGCATACAGGGAAGAGAAGGGTCAGGTTTTCCAGTGGATGCACATCACTGCCGCTGGTTTGCTCCTGCCTGCTCGCGGATGTCAGGTATTTGCAGACTGCCGCATAGCTGACTGCCTTATTGGCTACATGTCGTTTGCTCTCCTGTGTGCGTGCAGGTCAGGTATTTGCACAGGCACAGGCAAAGAGTGCAGTCAGGTACGTATGCTTCTGGAACATCAACCCCTCCCCACAGCAATTCACAACTGCCTAATAAGAGATGACCTGTCAGACACTCACCTATACTCCCAGCTTAACTGGAGCTCTCCAGAGCGCGTGAGGGTGTTTGCCACACTCACAATTTGCACTACAACAGAGATGCCCTAAAGGAGTTCAGCAGCAAATTGACATAAAGGAAGGGAATCTACTGCTGGAACT